AAAAAAAGGAGAAAAGGAGAAAAAAAGGAGAAAAGGAGAAAAAAAGGAGAAAAGGAGAAAAAAAGGAGAAAAGGAGAAAAAAAGGAGAAAAGGAGTGTGTGTGTGCGTGCGCGTGTCACACTATGTCTTCTGCAGAGCGCTGCAGAGCGGGTGACCCCAGGCTCAAGAAGTGGCTCCAGTTGCAGAGGAAGCCCCGGTTATAGTGGCCCGTGTCTACGACCAGCCCGCCCAGGAGCCTGCGTCCCGTGTTGTCGCGCAGAGCCAGGCGAGCTTCCCTCTCGGTCACGTTGTAGCTGATGTTCAACAGCTGGATAAGGAGGATGTAGCCCATGCCAGCCGTTACGATGGCACAGTACCACACGCAGGTGAACGACAGAGCTGAGCTGACGGYGGGGAGAAAGATGGGAAGGAAGCCATTTAGTTTGGGAGCGGCTGCTTTACAGTCACTTCCCCTGGCAATCACTATCCTTTCAAATCCCYGTCCACATCTGCCAGTGCTCACACTTGGCTTCTTTCATCAGGTAATCCTAAAGAGCTTTCTCAAAATTAAAGCTTCACGGCTTGCTTAACGACAGCTCTTCGCACAACCCCAGCCCCCCTGCACAGCGCTCCCTCACCAACTATTTCCTTGCTCTTACAGTCTGCTGGGGCCCAGCTCTTTAGAAGGGGATGCTGCTGTTCACACTCACAGACAGCAGCAAGGAGGAGAGCAAGGCAACGTGCACAGAGCTACGRGGTGCAACGCGGCAGGGCCTCCCCTGCTCCCCACCAGCCCCAGCCCCACAGGTGACTAGCGGGGTCTGCTCCAAGCAGAYAAACCGCCAGAGTGGCAACGGCCCCAGGTAGGCGCCGACGGGAGAAGGGTGCTGGTTTATCACTGCAGCTGGGGCGGATCTATGCAGGGCACGGCAAATAAAGGATGTAACATCCCAGCTCCTCCAACAACCTTCTGCAGAGAAACAGCACAATCCCTCTGGCTCTCAGGCTCACCACCTTGGCAAAAGAAGGGTAGAACCTCCCTCTTCCAGACCTTTAAAATCACTTTTTGGTCAGGTTAAGCAGGTTACAGAACCAGTCTGGAGCACAGAATGAGACAAAATGAGGGTGCTAGGCTGCCCATTCGGGTCTGGGTTCCCCCCTCGCCCRGCTCTCTCCCGGAGAGGTGTCTCACCTGTAATCAGAATAGGCCCCGGGGCAGTAGAACAAGGCCACGAGTGGCATCCGGCCCCTGCAAACGGTGCCCAGGGTCAGCGTGATGCCGTACACGGAGGTGAGCAGGAAGAGGGAGAGCGCGAGGATGAAGGCTTGGTGGTTCTGCTCCCCTACGCAGCTGTTAATCCTCCGGGAGGAAAGAAGAGAGGAACTTCGTTTGAAAGGGAGAGAGAGAAGAGAAGGGGGGGAGAGGGGGAGGAGAGCTTTTCTTTCCTCTTCCCCAAATTGTCAAAAAAACTCAACCCAAGGCTCTCCTGCACAGTGCCGGTAACATTTAAACTAAGCCATAAAGGCAMAGGTGAGTAGGCCAGTAACATAATGTGGAGGCGGGGGGGGGGTTGCCCCTCAAAATTCTTAAGCGTGATGCCCCGAGGCGAGATGCCCGTGTCCTGCTCCTCCTCCTTGCTCCCGTGTCCACGTGCACGCAGGCAGCTTTGGGCTTCCTTTCCTCAGTGCACGTTAACTGTAGGGCTGATACGGCTGGCTGTTCAAGGGAAAAATAAATGCTCCTCAAATATAGCTCTTCTCACATTCCTTCTTTTATGTCAAACACCCCAAAGATGCAAAAATTAAAAATGACACCCAACAACAGAGTACTCCCAACAGAATAAAGAAATAAAACAAGAAATAAAAACCGCAGTAGAGAGGCAGAGGTCATTCCGAAACACATTCTACGAGTTACCAGGTCATCCCACTCGCGCCAACAGCAGCCTTGCCTTTCAGAAGGGCCTCACCACGCCGCAGAAGCCCTGTTTGGCTGCAAAAAGGGAGCTTAGAAGGACGGCAGCCGCGGGAGCTCGGCGGCGCGGAACGTACCAGACGCAGTGGTGGTCCAGTCTTCTCACGCACCTCCCGCAGAGGCGGCAGTGCCCAGCGCGGGCCGGCCGCACCAGCTGGCACCTCGCGCACCAGTCCTTCCTCGTCCCGTCGGGCTCCTCGGCCGGCAGCCTGGAATGGCCCCTGGCCTCCCCGTTCGCAGCGCGGCCGCTCGCAGCTCCCAGAGAGGCGACTCCGTGGAGCCCGTTGGAGCTCCCCGTAACTTTCTTGCTTGGCAAATCCATGGCCTGGCACGGCGCCGTGCCTTTGCCTGTTGGGCTGGGAAGGTAGCCAGGGTCTTTCTTGGCTCGAGACAGGGCTGCGAGCATAAGAACTAGCCCGCAGGTGAGGATAAGCACTTGGGAAGGCTCCACGCGGCCCTGAGGAACCACCTCCTGGAGGAACACGTAGTACATGTAGCCCAGGGAGAAGAGCCCCAGGCTCAGGAAGAAGAGGGTCCGCTCCTTCCTGCGGTGCGTGAGGTAGTAGTACCAGAGCACGAGCGCGGGCAGGGAGGTGAGGACGAGCAGCGCCAGCAGCAAGTGCAGAGCGGCGACGCGCAGCAGGACGGGCAGCAGCAGCAGCGGCGGCACGAGGCTCACGTTGATCTTGAGCGCGCCCGCGAACCAGGGCACGCGCGCCCGGTCGGCGAGGGCGTCCGCGACGGCGCGCAGCGCTCCGGGGGGCAGCGGCCTGCACCGCAGCCACCTGGCAGGGAAGGAGCACAGGGCCCCGCTGAGGGGCGGCCGGCCCGCGCTCCTGCCTCGTGCCATGAAGCAGGAGACCCGACCGCTTCCCTGCTGACTCACAGGAGCGCTCGCTCGCTTCCCTCTTGCACGCCCAAGGCAGGCGGCAGGAAAGTTTCCCAGGGAGAGCCCTACACCCTTCCCCACAAACACGAAGCCTTTTCTTCCTCCAGCTTCCGGCCTTCGGCACGGCACCTGCGCAGCGCCCAGCTCGCCGCGGCAGCGGCACCCGGGGCACCCTCACGGAGGAGCGGCCCCCGGTGCCTCACGGGCGCCCCGGCCCCGCTCGGGCGCCCGCGCCGCGTCGGGAGGGTCCTGCAGCTGCGGCAACAGCCCGCGCGGGCACGCGGGCTGCCTCACGAAGCGGCTTTAGCGGGGGCTCATGGCAGGGACGCGGGGAGCCCCCCGCCCGCCCCCGCCGGGCCGGTAACCGCCGGCGGCCGCTACCTGTCGCAGCCGTGGTCCAGCTCCTCGCAGTCGCACAGGCAGGTCACCAGGTGGCTCCTCTGCCCGTTCCGGTCCACGTACTCGCAGCAGCAGAGCGGCTCCTCCATCGCCGCGCGGCCCCGCGGCCGCTGCCC